TCCGCTGCCCCCACCCCCCCGACTCACCCCGCCCCCTCTTTCCCTTCCACTCTCTCTGAAAAGCAATGGAAAAAATATCTTCTGGTAAGGGTTATAAAAAAATTAAAAATAAAAGAGGAAATGTAGGAAAAGTCATAGGAACAACCAAACTAAAATAGCAGAGAAAGGAAAATAAACAATGAAGATACAGAGCAACCAGAAAACAAAAGATAAAATAGATACAGTAAGTCCTAAATATAAATGGACTGAACTAACCAATCAAAAAGTAAAGAGTAGCAGAATGGATTACAAAGTAAGACCCAACTCTATGTTGCCTTCAGGAAACTCATCTCAGCTACAAAGACAAACACAGACTCAAAGCAAAGGGGTGGAAGACAATACTCTAAGCAAATGGAATCCAGAAAAAAGTTGGTGTAGCCATACTTATATCAGACAAAATGTATTTCAAGAGACAAATGGGCATTTTTTAATGATAAAGGGCACAATTCAGCAAGAATACACAGCACTTATTAATATATGTGCACCCAATCTGTGAGCACAAAAATATATAAAGCAATTACTAACAGACCTAAAGGGAGAAACTAAAAACAAACAAACAAACAGAACAATTACATTAGGGGACCTGAATACCCCATTGACAACAATGGAGGAATCATCCACACAGAAAGTCAGTAAGAAAATATTGGCCTTAATGACACAATTGACCAAATAGACACAGTTGATATTTATAGAGCTTTCCATCCCAAAATGACAAAACATACATTCTTTTCAAGTGCACTCGGAACACAAAACTAATCTCAAAAAATTTAAAACTGAAATCATACCAAGCATATTTTCTGACCCCAAAGATAAAAAATTGGAAGAAAGCTAGAAAAACCACAAATATGTGGAGATTAAACAACATGCTATTGAACAGCTACTGGGTCAATGAAATACTACTCAGCCATACAAAATGATGAAATATGCTGTTTACGACAACATGGATGAAAGAATATCATGTTAAGCGAAGTAAGTCAGATGGAAAAGGACAAGAACCATATGATTTCACTCACATGTGGGATATGTAACAGAAAGCTACAAACAAAATAAATTCATAGATAGAGACAACAATATATGGTGGTTACTAAAGGGAAAGGGGGGTGTAGGGAGAATGAAGAGGGTAAGGAGCATCAAATATATGACGACAAGGCCCTGGCTGGGTAGCCCAGTTGGTTAGGGTGTCATCCCAAACACCAAGGCTGTGGGTTCAATTCTCGGTCAGGGCACATACAAGAATCAACCAATGAATGCACAAATAAGTGGAACAACAGATCAATGTTTCTCTCTCTTGCCCCCTCTCTCTAAAAAAAAAATCAATAAAAATCAGCTTTTAAAAATACCTTTACAAGTTTGAATAATGAATGGATAATGTGATATTAGAATTACTGTTAATATTTGATATGTAACAATGGTATTATCAGCTGGTTAAAAAAGGGATACTTTATTCTTGGAAATACTACTGTACTTATGAATAAAATAATATGTCTAGGGTCTACTTCAAAATAATCTAGGGAAGAATAGGATTGGGAGGGGGAAGGTGGACAAGTAAAACAAGACCAGCCATATATTAGTATTTCTTGAAGCTCAGTGATGGATACATGGGGTTACACTATTTTCTCTGCTTCTGTATTTGCTTAAAGTTTAATAATAAAAAACTTAAAAGATTAGTGATTTAATATTCCACTAAAATTAATCAAGGCAAATAACTGATTTATCTTTGCTACTATTTTTCTAAAGTCTATTTATTATACTATGAACATCATACATTAACACTCTAGCTGGTTTTTTCTTTTTTTTAAAAAAATATATCTTTATTGATTTCAGAGAGAGGAAGGAAGAGGAGGAGAGAGAGATAGAAACATCAATGATGAGAGAGTCATTTATTGGCTGCCTCTAGTACGCCCATTGGGGATCGAGCCCACAACCTGGGAATGTGCCCTGACCAGGAATCGAAGCAGGATCTCCTGGATCATAGGTCGATGCTCAACTGCTGAGCCATGCCAGCCGGTGGGGCGGCTTTTTCTTTTTGATGGTCATTTTCTTCTTCTTTTTCTATAAATAGATAAGTATATAGGAAAAAACAATACTAATGAGGGGGAAAAAATAAAAGAAAATGACCTACAATACTGAGATAACTACTATGTATTACTCAATATTTTGGCACATTTTTTTTTTTTTTTTCTAGGCACATATATACTATATAGTCAACATTAATACATGTACTTAAAACAAAATCATACTATTAATACAGGTTTGTGACCAGCTTTGCTCCTCCACTTCTTCTGATACATTTAAAGAGTATGACTGAGATGTTTATACGATCCTTATACCACTGATGTTCAGTTTGCCCCATAACCTGACATGCACTGTAGACATTTTTTTTCTTCTCTCTGATGGGTGCTTCATTTGAGACTCATTTACCTGCCAGACAGCCAAATTCATATAACAATATTATATCAGAATTTTGCAAACATTCATGCAAAATGTAAAGTACGAGCTAACTGCTTCAAATTAGGCAATCTGATTTTTGTTGGGAGGGGCATTCCAGTTGCCTATCATAAGCCAGATTCTTTTCAGCCCTAGAGGACTTTGAAGGAGATTAATATTGGATTAAGCAGAACAAATGTTATTTATATTATTATACTATTTTTTATATATTATTATGTATATTACATATAAGATACTATTATATAGTATAGACAAATATTTATGTCTCATTTATCGTGCATCATTGTCATGATATAAATTGTCATGCCTCATTTATATGAGGTATTCAAGCCACAGACTTTAAAATCAACAGTTAGCCCTTGGTCCAGATGAGGGACTAAAGCAAAGCAGGGAATGGAAAAAAAAGGATGCATGAAGAGAGACAGTGAAGACTGGGGTTTACTCAAGTTTTTTAAGATAACCCCAGGATCGAGGGGAAGAGTACATACAAGAGTTAACTCTAACAGTCACTAGACAGGAGTGACAGAAAGAGAATACAAAATAGGGAAAGAAGGCTAGTAATAATAGGTAACTAAATATTTGTTGTTTGATATACTAAGAAATATAAACAAGCTCATTTTTATTTATAAAATCTATTTCAAATGTCCATATGAGAGGATTTTTTTCATGCCAAGAAAGCAAATGAAATAGATATTTTAACAAATTATTTACAGCCAAGTAACATAGTAAAACTCCACAATTGTGACTATTTTAAAACAAGGTCTCATGTGTTTAATAGCCACGGTTTACTAAGTACTTACTCTGGTGCCAGACAATGTGCTAAATAATCATTTAACATATATTATGTCATTAATTCTTATAAAATGTATGAGGTTAATATTATCATCTCCCTTTCACATATGTGAAAATTAAGATCTAGAAAGTTTAATTAACCTGTCCAAAGACATGCATCTAGTCCTTGGCAAAGCTGGTATTGGAAACAAAGTCCAATAACAAAGCCTATGATGATAATAATTATGCTCTAATGCCTCCAAAGCCTGTATTAAGCTGAGTAACAATAACATAAATCAATTAGGTATGTGAGGTCACATGATCTGACTCAATAAAGGTGGTTATTTGAAAAATAATTCTATAAATTTTCTCATCCTTAGCACTTTATCACTAAGGCCTATACTTCTTCATATTGAGCTTAGCCATCCAATATTGCATCCCTTTAGACTGCCTTTTCAAAGTGATATGTAGATAATACAGTCTAAGATAATGAATAAGCAGTATAAGACACTGAAGCTGGAATTAGAAAACCTTAGCTCTAGTGTTAATTCAAATATTTACTAGTGTAAGGGTCCTAGGCAAGTCTAACATTTTTCTCTGATTATTCACCTGGCCTAAATAAATAAATAAATAACAGCTAATAAAATCCATTTTGCCTTCTGCAAAGGATGGTTGTGATGATCAAATGAGATGTGACATGAGACACTCTGTAAACTCTAAAACACAAATGGTATTATTATTCATTTATGAGAACCAGAAAAAGCTATCTCCCAAATGAAGCACCTATTCTTTTCCCCACCCCAAGACACAATCACATGTTAACATATGAAAATATGGAGGTAAATGTCGTATCTAACACGGAGAAATGAAGAAATGATGGGAAATTAAGGACAGATGGAAAAGAAGAGTGGCATACTACAGGACATACATATTTTGGGGCCAAGCAGACTGCGTAGCATTAATCTAAAAGCCACTTTAATCAAAAATATCCACTTAAGACAGTTGGATTTATGCATTAAGTAATGAGCCCCAACAGCTTTCTCTTATACGATGCTAGCAATTCCTCCGTACTTCATCGCTAACACACTAAAATCTTATAAGAGAAAAGATAATTTGATTAATACCTTATTCCAGCCGCTGGCATGAACTGTGGTCTCCAGTGTACATTCCCGATATGTCTGATATGTCACTGGCCTGTAGAAATTTTTTTTAAAAGTCTGTGTCACTAAGTAGGAAAATTCTAAATTTCAAAATGAATAAATATACAGTCACTACTCTAATGTATGAACTTTTTGCAAAACTAACAAAGACTATTCAACATTGTTTTGTATGAGATATGGCTTTTAACATTTGGTATGCATTTTTCTGCAAGCATTCTCTATAGGCTAAGATGCGTGTTACCAGTTTGGGAAAGCAGTTAACATAACAAGTAATAATAATAAATAATAATACATTTTTTATAATTGCTTGAAAGTTATCCAACAGGATTTCTATGTTGTAGATAAACATAAACACTTGGGTTAATATGGGATCAAATAATAAAAAATATCTTATTAATAAAATTAAAAGCACAATTTTAATTTTTTTAAAGGCAAAAAAATCTAAAATATTTAAAAATTAAATATTTTTAACATGTCACTGTAAGACTTTTCAAATTGAGGATATAAGAAGTTGGAATAAACAAGGCCAATAAATGGAGCTCTGTTTTTAACTTGGTGTCTTATGACATAAAATCCTGGAAGGCAAAGAGATAAGCCTTTCTTATTACTTCCATGAATGTTCTAGTTATGCCAAAATTAAAATCATTAGGCGATGACAATGCTCACTCAATAATTTACTGAGGGACTTCAAATACTATATTCTAAGTCTTGGTTTCATGTACAAATTAACAGTAACAACAACAATAAAATGCTCAGTAACCAAGTAACATATGAAGGCATCAATAGCTGGATAATAGATTTAGTAGAATGTATCCCCCCTTTTGTGGGCAAATTATTAACATATATGTAAAATGGAGAGAAGTCTAATTTTAAAATCCATCCCAAAGGTATTTTCTGCTCTGACCACTCTAGTCTGTGATCTCTTCAGTCTGTGAATATAGATTGGTAACAGCTACCACTTATTTGGTGGCCTCCTGTTAGGTTTTAATTTTGTACATTTCATATTATCATTTTACATATTAGGAAACAGAAGCTCAGAGAAGCTAAGAGACTATCCCAAATCCACATAGCTGGCAAGCAGCAATGTAGGAATTTACACTCAATTAAATATGGCTCTAAAGGCCACACTGCTCCTGTTTTAACTTAGGATTCTGACACATGGCATGATAATGTCTAGATGCTACATGTGACTAATAAGCATTTGAAATGTGGCTAGTGTAGTGATATGCTGAAAGTGTAATACACTTTCACTTTAAACCAGATTTCAAAGACTTAGTATGAAAATAAAGAATGTAAAATATCTCCTTAATAAGTCGTTATATTGCCCTAGCCGGTTTAGACCCGTGGTTAGAGCACTGGCCCTTGGACTGAAGGGTCCTGGGTTCAATTTTGGCCAAGGGCACGTACCTCAGTTGCAGACTCAGTCACTGGCCCCAGTTGGGGCCCATGCAGGAGGCAACCAATTGATGTCTCTCTCTCACATTGATGTTTCTCTCTCTCTTTCTCCCCCTCTTCTACTCTCTGAAAAAGCAATGAAAAAAATATCCTCAAGTGAGGATAAAAAAATTTTTTAAAAGTCATTATACTGAGTATATGTTAAAGCTATATTTTGAATATATTAAGTTAAATAAAATATATTTTAAAATCATAATTTAATCTAATTTTTTATGTGGCTGCTAGAATTTTTTAATTACATATATGTGACTTGCATTATATTTATTGGACAATACTGGTCTACATATATTTCAGAATAAAGGTTTTGATGACACAAGTATCATTCTTTTATACAAGTGAAAATAAAATCAATACTACAGTGATGCTGAGATACCAGGGATGACCTTTTAAATAAGATGTTATATAACCAATGTCACCCCAATCAATTTAGTTAAAAAAAAAAAAAAAGATGTACATACTACCTTCCTGATATCATATTCCCATCCAGGTAAGCTTAGTGTTTTTTAGAAGTCTTGGACTAAATACTAGGTGTTTGTAAAACCTGAACTTCAGCAGATAACTATACAGTCTACCCACCTATATTCTCCCTGAAGCTTTACTTGTGTTTATCAGCCCCTTCGCTTCCTTTCCTGAACTGTTTGATGATGCTGCGGGTCACAGTATATCTTATTGGTAGTTTGTCTATCAAGCTAAAATACTTTAGCATCCTTTAGAATGAAAGGATTTGAAACATTATATGTACACACATATATGCACATAAACAATCAGGCAGATTAAAACAGTAAAAGGAAATCTAATACATAGAACAGCGTAGCTAAAAAACCAGCCCTATCTGATGAGCTTCTACTTGAAAACAGCAAGGAAGAAAAAGGGGAGTGGGGGAACCTTTTGAAACAACTTCCCCTACACAAAGAGATAGGGATTAAATTCCCACTTTAACAAAACTGGAAGAGGAGGTGGTATTTTCCACCTTAAAAGACAGTGCCCCCCGACTGGGCGTGGCTCAGCAGTTGAGCATCAACCTAGGATCCAGCCGATCAAGGCTCCATTCCTGTCAGGGCACATGCCCAGGTTGCAGGCTCAACCCCAGTCCAGGGGTGTGCAGGAGGCAGCTGATCAATGACTCTCTCATCAATGATGTTTCTATCTCTCTCTCCCTCTCTCCTTTCCTCTCTGAAATCAATAAAGATATATTTTAAAAAAACACACAAAAAAACACAGTGCCATGAACCTGTATGATAATTCTAATTCATCGTCAGACAGTCATTTTAAGGTATTAGTAATAGCACTTAACGACTTTCAAAAGCATATTTATGATAATCACACTTACTTTCTTCAAAATTAGCTAAAATCTACTAGAACATTTCTTCTTGACTGCTAAAACAAGGTATATGTTGGGTTCAATATTCCTTAAAAAATAAAAGACCTCTGCTTTATTACTTGCCATTTGAAAATCACATCAGATATCCTTCAGATTCTGTAAAGAAAACATCTTAACATGTGTCTTAACAATAAAAATACCTATCTTTGAGTAGAAGAAAAATACTGAAAATAAACACAATACTAAAAAAGGGGGGAAAAGGTTTCTAAAAAAAAATTTATTAAGGGGCCTAACAACCAGAGATACCAATTTCAAAAATAATTATATCAGTACTCAGGGTCTAGGGAAAAATAAATAATCATCAAAGACAAAATATTCTAAAATATCAGTTAGTTTGCAATGAGAAGATATCAATTTTTCTTGTACATTATGAAAAGTACTCTAAAAACAATACTTTTAAAAAAACTATATAATACTGTTCTTCAGAGTGCTTATAATATTCCAGTACAGTTAAAATTGATGGATAAACTGAGATATAGAGTTAAATGATTTACTCAAAGCTACAGTTTGTATCAAAATTACAAACAGGGCTCTGGCCTGGTAGCTCAGTTGTTAGAGCATCATCACAATACACTAAGGTTGCAGGTTATATCTCTGATCAGAGCACAAACAAGAAGCGACCAATGAATACATAAATAAGTGGGACAAGAAATCGATGTTTCTCTCTCTCTTTCTCTCGCTCTCCCCTCCCTAAAAATCAATTAAGAAAAAAATTGGAAACAGTTCTTTTACTCCCAGTCCCAATAGCTTTTACAAGTTTTGTTTGTTTTGGCAAACAAAATTTCTTCAAATCTTACATGAAACATTAATATATGATATATATCAAAGCATAGCTGTTCTGGTTTAAGAGCAGTGGAAAGGCCCTAACAAACTCCACCCACCCACCCTATCCTCACCTCTATGGGGTCCTGAAGACTCCACAGAATACTTTTAAAGTCACTGCCATACATCCAAATTTCCCATTAAGCTTTATTTCCCAACACCCATAATGTTATCTCCCTCCACATTTATTTATTTACTTACTTATTTTAATTCTCACCCAAGGATATTTTTTCCATTAATTTTTAGAGAGAGTGGAAGGGGGGGAGGGAGAGGAAAAGAGAGAGAAACATTTGATGCAAGAGAGACATATCGATTGGCTGCCTCCTGCATGTGCCCTGACCAGGGCTGGGGATCTAACCTGCAACCCACGTATGTGCCCTTGACCGGGAATCGAACCTGTGACCCTTAAGTGCATGGGCCAAAGCTCTAACCTCTAAGCCACACTGGCCAGGGCTCCACATTTATTTTTACTTTTCAATTTTATTTTTTTTAAATGTTTTTACTGATTTCAGAGAGAGGATGGGGGAGGGAGAGAGAGATAGAAACATCAATGATGAGAGTCACTGATTGGCTGCCTCCTACACACCCCCTACTGGGGATCAAGCCCGAAACCTGAGCACGTGCCCTGACCAGGAATGGAACCATGACCTCCCAGTTCATAGGTGAACACTCAACCACTGAGCCATGCAGGCTGGCTTCCACAATTATTTTTAAAGTTTCCTATATATAAGGTTAAGAAAATCCAAATGTGGTTTTCATTTCACTGTTTCCTATATATAATTTGAATTTTTACATTTGCTCATGTCACCAGAATATGCAGAACAAATTTAATTATCCTTAAACCCATATTGCTTCCTTCTAATAAGTGATAATATATAAAATCTGCCTACATGAAAGGAATTACCTTACTACAACAGTAATTTAGCATCCGAATTTCAGCCTTTTTAGTGAAAAAAGAGTTGTCATCCTGTTTTAGATAGTTGTCAATCTTCATTAAAACAAAGATTTTTTTTTTCTATATCATACCAGTTCCATAGCGATTCTCAGCAAAAAATTAGGGGAAATGAATTTTTAAGATTTATAATAAATGATTTGGTTCTATTTTAATACACTTTCACTATGAGCCTCTTGCCTTTAGCTTTAACAGAACCATAGCTAGGAAAGGAGTTCCCACTGTAAGAATGTAGCAGTAGTTCCATGGGCAGATGTGCAACCCCAAAGTACAGCAACATCTGATATACCTAAAATACAGATGTAATCCTAATCCTGAATTACAGGGCATAAAACCCATTATATTCGTGTTGGCTACTAGAGAATTGTAGCAAAAGTGGTCACGACAAATAAAGTAGCTTGTATTTACAACTCAGTGAAACCATTTGCTGAAACCTGACAGCTCAATGCAAAAATACAAATGGTCAAATCCATGTTGGAACAGTTAAATCACTTCTTTGATGCAAAAGCTGTCACTCAAAACACAAACAGAGATGCTTTGGGAACGCAAGAGAAGAAAGAGTGAAGAAAAGTAAGTGATAGAAGAAGTGATACTGTTCATGTAAAACAAAGTCTTAACTAATCCAGTGCTGTATGAGCAATGCAGAAGACGACTTAGAGAAGCAGGTCTCACTCAGCAATGGTAACTCACTGGCTGAGGAGCATTTGCAATGCCTTATGTAGAGGCTCTTTCAGTTCCTGGGATGCTCTTTCTCCAAGATGAGCCAAGCAGTCTTCTACTGAGCTTTCTGGGTTAGCAGGGCTGAACACTGGAGAAGTGTGCTGGTCAAAGCCTGTGCTGGTAAAGGCTGAAGACAGGGAAAAAGAAAATCTAATTCAATAAATATTATCAAAAGTTGTACTATAAAAGCTGAGGGGATTAAGAAACCTGCTACTGAGAATGAGCTAAGTTATAAGCCACTTAAAAAGGTCAGGTAATCACTACAGGATATTAATCTTTCCTGGAACACATAATTAGATAGATTCTATGTTTACAGATTTTTTTTAAAGGAAAGATTTTCATGGAAAATCTTAGTTTTAAGAGAAGAAAAAGACTAAACTGAAATGTTAAAATGCACAAACTAATTTAGTATATTACTACAGACCAATGTGGTATAAGAATGATAAATGAGAGGCAACTCCTAGATCTATCATCCTTCTCTTAATACTTTGTTTTTAAAGTTTTGTTTTTACCTTTATAAATGTGGCATGTCTTAAACCAGACTCCAATCAGTTTATTCCACCTTAGAGAATGAGTTGTTTTCATTCCCTTTTTAAAGTGAACTTTTCTAATCCCCTAGTCCTGCACATGGGTAAATGTTAAAACTCTGAAGGTTATAGAAGCAGACAAATTGCACATGGATGAAGAGTCATAGCCTATTCTCCTCAGCTCAAACCAACAGCCTCTTATCTGCTTCCTAATTCCATGTTATATAGACTAAGCCATTCTCTACAGAAAACCAGGTAGAATTAAAGTTGTTCCAGGGTACAAATAGGATTCAGGGCATAGAATCCCAGTAAAGCAAGCAGCTTGCACCCACTCTCAAGAGTTACCAATAATCTCCATAAAATACTTATTGCATTAATCTAAGGCTTGCTCCTAGAAGGCTGTAAATTTTACTACAGAGTTAAGTATACTATTTCTTTATAAAGTGCTTGCCTCTAAGAAAGATGCAAATGACTGCAAAGTTCACAAATATTTTGTTGTCTCAGTAAGCTTTTATTGTCTGAAAACACCCATTATAATGATCAGTCTTGGTTAATATGAGGGTTCAATGACATAAGTGCAATTAAGCCTTGTTGCTGTTTTTCTTCTTTTGGCCTCTTGCCCATTTTACTATGTATAAATACTGCCACAGAGGTGGACGAAGGCTTAAAATAGAATTGGAACTTTAGTCAATTAAAAATGTTGGTTGGGTTATGCAGGAGACAGCTGATCAATGACTCTGCCATTATTTGATGTTTCTCTCTCTCCCCACTCCCTTCCTTTCTCTGAAATCAATAAAGATATATATATTTTTTAAATGTTCTAAATTTAGATTGTGGGGATGGTTGCACACTATACAACTGAAGTGTACACTTTGGGTAGAATTTATGGTATGTAAAATATATCTCAATAAAGCTATAAAAGAAATCCTTGGACAAGATGTTCAATGCATCTTGATTTATGGAAGACAAAAAAAGAAATAACCCAAATGCTCCCCTCAATAATAAGGGAATGACTGAATAGTCATTCAGTACACGGAATTTCATATAGTTAGTACAACGATAACTATTTTAAAAGTTTATGATATAATGTTAAGTAAAAAATACATAGCTATAAAGTTATATCTACATTACTATTACAACTAACTAGAGCATATATACATGCAAAACTGAAAGCAGTGTACTTACATTTTTCCCTTTAATGTTGTTATACTGAATGAAAGTACTTTAACGTGATTGTTGAACCCATCACTTAACATCAGAAAAGGCTACATCTAAATTGTTGGGTACAGTTAGGAAACATTTAGAAACATATTGCCCAGGAAAGAAAAATGAGAGGCCACTAGTTTCACCCTTATAATCTTATACCAATGAAGCTGTGTAATATTGAGAACACTCTACTGCAAAAAATCAAATTAAACCAACAGTAAACCACACCAACAGAATCTTCTAATTAACTAGGAAAATAAGAATAGAGACCTTCAGAAATTTCTTTGTCCAGAGATCTTAGCTCTTCTTCAATTTCAGTTTTAACTTTTAATAAAACTTCTTGATCCAGAGATTGTGAAGCTACATCTTGTTGAATTCCTGAAACCAACAAAAAGGTTACTATTGACAGAGGGAGAGAGAAGCCTTTAGAATATGGGTAATATTTTAACTATTAAGTCAAAAATATAAAATTAAAACTCACTATCAAGGCTAGGGGCTGGGAGATATTTAAAAATGAGAAAGGTGAAGCTTGGGTAGGTTATACTACTACTACAGAGAACCTGTGATTAGAACTCAGATCAGTCTGAATACAAAACTATTAATGCAGGCTGTGCCCTCATCTTCTGGTTGGGTGGCTAGGAAGAGAGTATCTCAGAAACATTTTTGACATTACAAAAAAGGAAGCCTGAAAGGTTGTCTAGATCAGTGATAACATATTTTGATACTGACCATCACGGTCCCTTATTTTCATGCAAACTGCAGCCCAAGAGAAAGCCTAGTATCATCAAAAGATTTATATCCTCCAACTTAAGAAAACTATCAATATTCTTATGCAGTAAAAGGAAAAGGAAGGTCTTGGTCTCTAGCACAAAATAGAGAATAAAGGGGAAGAGTATGAAGGAAAAAATTATACCAGATACTTGACTATTCACAAATTTCTCCTGCCTCAGATATTTGGAGAACATCATGTGTTCTAAAACAATGAATGCAAATATGACACTCTCCACCCCTCCTATTCAGAATATACTTATAGATGCATTTTCAGTACTTTCCCAGTTGTTCATATCATTGTTTTCTACCACTGACAAGTTTTAGAAAGAGAGGAATTAGCTGTTTATATGTTTTCATTTTTGCAAGCAAAGAATTCTGAATTTAAAGATAAGCTTATTAATTTAGGCCAAGAAACTTATTATAGCATCTATAGGTCTTTAAAATACCTCTGAAAAACAAAAGGTTAAACATTTCTGTATGTTAGTTTCTCTGATTAGCTTTCAACTTTTTTTTTCTTTTTTTTTAAAAATATATCTTTATTGATTTCTGAGAGAGGAAAGGAGAGGGAGAGAGAGACACAGAAACATCAATGATGAGAGAGTCATTGATCGAGCCCACAACCCGGGCATGTGCCCTGACCGGGAATCGAACCCCGATCGCCTGGATCCTAGGTCGACGCTCAACTGCTGAGCCACGCCTGGCCAGGCAGCTTTCAACTTTTAAAGTTGACAAAAATAATTATCCTTTAAGCCACATAAAATACTTTCCTTCTGAGCTGAGACTATCCAAAATAAAACTTAGATCCTTAAAAAAAAAAATTTGTAGAAAATATAAAATTCCTTAGGTATATCTAGTTAAAGTGCAACACAAAGGATTCCCTCAATGTCATGATTAACATATATTTTGCTTAACTAGATATTTCACTTACCTTTTCTGCCTACATAAATACCTTAGATGAAACTACATACATAAAAACTTTTTACAAGATATCTTTATTGATTTCAGAGAGAGGAAGGGAGGGGGAGAGAGAGAGATAGAAACATCAATGATGAGAGAGCCACTGATCGGCTGCCTCCTGCACGCCCCCAACTGGGGATCGAGGCCACAACCCAGACATGTGCCCTGACCGGGAATCAAACTGTGGTCTCCTGGATCCTAGGTTGATGCTCAACCGCTGAGCCAAGCCCGGCCGGGCCATACATAAAAACTTTGGCACATTATATAAGCTCTCCTCCTGCCACCCAAGATGCCAAAAGGAAAAAAGGCTAAAGGGAAGAAGGTGGAGCCAGCCCCTGCTGTAGTAAAGCAGCAGGTGGCCAAGAAAGTGGTATATCCCATTTGAGAAAAGGCCCAAGAATTTTGCCATTGGACAGGACACCCAGCCCAAAAGGAACCTCACCTGCTTTGCCAATGGCCCTGCTACACTGGGCCACAGAGGCAAAGGGCTATTCTCTATAAGTGTCGAAAATGCCTCCTGCCATTAACGAATTCACCCAGGCCTTGTACCGCCAAACAAGCTACTCAACGGCTTACGCTGGCCTATAAGTATAGAACAGAGACAAAGCAAGAGAAGCAGCAGAAATTGTTGGTCCAGGCAGAGAAAAAAGCTGCCGGCGAAAGGGATGCCCCCATCAAGAGGCTACCTGTCTTTCGAGCAGGAGTTAACACAGTCACCACACTGGTAGAGAACAAGAAGGCCCAGCTGGTGGTGACTGCACATGACGTGGGTCCCATCAAGCTGGTTGTCCTCCTGCCTACTCTGTGCTTTAAGATGAAGGTTCCCTACTGCATTATCAAGGGAAAGGCCAGGCTGGGCATCTAGTCCACAGGAAGACCTGTACCCCCATCGCCTTCACACAGGTTAACTCGGAAGACAAAGGAGCTCTGGCTAAGCTGGTGGGAGTCATTCAGACCAATTACAATGGCAGCTATCATGGGATATGCTGCCACTAGGGAGGCAACATCCTGGGTCCAAAAATGGAAGCTCACACTGCCAAGCTCAAAAAGACCAAGGCTAAAGAACTGGTCACCAAACTCGGCTAAGTGTACACTGTTGAGTTTTCTGTACATAAAAGTAATAAAAACTGGCCAGCCAGCATGGTTCAGCGGTTGAGCATCGACCTATGATCCAGGACATCGAGGTTCCATTACGGGTCAAGGCATATGCCTGGGTTGCAGGCTCAATCCCCAGTACGGGGTGTGCAGGAGGCAGCTGATCAATGGTTCTCTCATCATTGATGTTTCTCTCTCCCTCTCTCTTCCTCTCTCTGAAATCAATAGACACATTAAAAAAAAAAAGGTAATAAAAATTCTCCAAAAAATTAAAACATTACATAAAAAACATATACAATTTATTATGCAAAATTTGGATACACTGTGTACTAGGAAGAAGGTAATCTTTATAAATTCTCATAAGTATAAAAGTCTATATCTTTACAGACAGGCTTTTCCCCCCCAATTTTTTTATTGCGGTTAAATACATATTACATAAAATTTACCATCTTTACCATTTTTAAGTGTATAATTCAGTAATAGTAACTACATTCACAATGTTGTACTACCAGCACCACTACCCATCTCCAGAACTCTTTTATCTTGTAAAACTCAAACTTTATACCCATTAAATACTAACCTTCCATTCCCTCCTCCCCCACCCCCAGCCCCTGCAAACCACTACTCTACTTTCTGTCTCTATAACTTGGAGTGTTTCTAAGTACTTTTTATATAAGTCCAATTATACAATATTTGTCTTTTTTTTTTTTTTTAAATCTTTATTGATTTCAGAGAGAGGAAAGGAGAGGGAGAGAGAGAGATAGAAACATCAATGATGAGGGAGTCATTGATCAAGCCTGCAACCGGGCATGTGCCCTGACGGAGAATCAAACCCTGATCGCCTGGATCCTAGGTCGAAGCTCAACCACTGAGCCACGCCCGGCCAGGCAATATTTGTCTTTTAGAGACTTGCTTACTTTACTTACAGATAGACTTTTAATAAATCTCAAGTACTATTTATAATTATAGTATGTTTTCCTTTTAGTAGTTTATAGTTTTAGATGGGTCTGCAACTGCATTAATTAAAACAATACACTAAAGTGACCTCCAGAATACATTGTAACATTATTAAAACAAGGCGCAGACTGGTAAATTAATTTAAGATCAATCTCATTTCTTTCAATAAAATTATCTTTCTCCCTGTGGCTTCCTAGAAGGCAGCTCAGTAAAGTGGAAGATAAGCTTTGAAGTCAAACATTTTAGCTCATCACTACATGTAACGTTGGGCAAGAAAAATAATCTTCTTGAATCTCTCCTCTTACGTAAAATGGGGATATTACACCACAGGAAATGTTGTCAAGGATAATGAGATAAGTCTCATCACATCAAAAATGCTCGACAGATAGTAGCTCCCATTCACCAATTGTTTTGATTCTCCAAAATGTTGTTACTATTGCCGTGGTCAGTTTGGCTCAGTTGTTAGAGCATTGGCCTTCGGACTGAAGGGTCCTGGGTTCAATTGCGGCCAAGGGCATGTACTTGGTTGCAGGCTCTTCCCAGGGCTCACTGGGGGTGTGTGCAGTAGGCAACCAATCGATGTGTCTCTCTCACATCGATGTTTCTTTCTCCCTTCCACTCTCTCTGAAAAGCAATAGAAAAAATACCCTCAGGTGAGGATTTTAAAAGAAATGTTATTACTATTGCTCTGGCTGGTGCTGCTCAGTAGTTAGTGTTGGCCTGAGCACTGAAGGGTCGTGGGTTCAATTCTTGGTCAAGGGCATGTACTTGGGTTGCAGATTCAATCCCTGGCCCTGGTTGGGGCGCATGTGGAGGCAACTCATCAGTGTGTCTCTCCCACATCGTTTCTCACTTTCTCTTTCCCCATTCCCTTCCACTCTCTCTAAAATCAATGGGGGAAAAAT